CTCCGGAGTTCAGCCTCCCTGCAGTCATTTCACTTCTATGCCTGTCTCTGTCTCTTTCCCTCCCTCCCTCCTTTTCTTCCCTCTTCATACACGTTTAAAACTCAAAAAAATGCAATGACATAACAATAACTTCATGTACTTATATTCAGAACCAACACTTTAATATTTTGGTCTTTTTTGTTACAAGTCTTTTCTCCTTTAATAAGAGAAATAGTTTAGTAGTTTAACAAAATAAAGATTTTAACAATTTGTTTCTTTGTCCCAGACCCATTCTGTTTTCCCAAGGTGATCTTACCTGCAATGTTTTTATACTTTACATATACCTGACTGTGGACATTATGCAGTTGTTTTCTGCATATTTTTCTTTAAAAATAAGACAGAACAAACAAATAAAAACTCATAGACGCAGACGACAGTATGGTGGTTACCAGAGGGAAGGGGGGTGGGGCAGGTAGAAGAGGGTACAGGGGGTCAAATACATGACGAGAGAAAGAGATTTGACTTTGGGTGGCAAAAACCCAATGTAACATACAGGTCGTGTATTATAGAATCGTACACTTGAAACCTATGTAATTTTATTAACCAATATCACCCCAATAAATTTAATACAATTATTTTTTATTTAAAAGAAAATTTTTTTTCTTAATTGATTTTTAGGGAGAGAGGAAGGGGGAGGGAGAGAGAGAGGTAGAAACATCGATGAGAGAGACCCTCGACTGGCCGCCTCCTGCATGCCCCTCACTGGGGATCAGGCCCACAACCTGGGCATGTGCCCTGACTGGGAATCGAACCGGCGACCTCTTGGTGCATGGGTCGACACTCAACCACTGAACCACACCGGCTGGGCAGTTTAATAAAAATTTTATATTTTTTTCATAAATTGTTTTATATTATATGTATATATATTATGCAATTTGACTTACTGTTGTTCTCATTTAACATGAAGATCTCTTTCTGCTCAAATATAAAGATCTGGTTCAATCCAACTTATGCATTTAACACATTTTGTTTTTTCTTAAAATTAAATTTATCAAAATAAAATTGGCTTATAACATTATATACATTTCAGGAGTACATTATAATTTGATATCTATATATTCTATTGTGTTCACCACCCAATAGTTTACCTCTCTTGCCATCTCTTTGCCCCCCTTTCCCCAGTTTGCCCTCTCTCTTCCCTGTGATAACCAGCATCCTTGTCGTCTGGATCTGTGAGTTTGACTTTGTTTGTTTTGTTAGTTTGTTTGTTACTTTTTTGTTTTATATTCCACATATGAGTGAAGTCCTAAGGTTTTTATCTTTTTCTGTATGACTTATTCCACTTAGCATAATACCCTCAAGATCCATTCATGTTGTAACATGGCAATATTTCAATATTTCATCCTTTTTTTTTTTTTTTTTTTTTTTTATGGCTGAGTAGTTTCTTTATTGATGGATACTTGAGTTGTTCCCAGTTTTTGATTCTGACCGTTTATACAGGGCATATTCTTGTATATGCCTCCTTTTGTGCATGTGTAAGGCTTTCTCTTGGGTGAATACTTGGACATGGAATTACTGGGCCATGAAGTGTGTTAATTTATAATTTTCCAGGATACTGGTAAATCACTCTTCAAAGTGGTTATACCAGTTTATACTCCCTCTACAATGTAAGAGAAATTCTTCACATCCTTAGAAGAGTTTTATATTGTCAGTCTTTAAACATTTTGTCACTGTAGCATGAAATGAATGGTATGTCATTATTTAATTTGCCTTTCAGATTCCTTGTGGGGTGAGCAGCATTTTATGTTTCTTGGCCTTGAGTTTCCCCTTTGTCCATTGTCTGTTACTAACTTCACTGGTCTCCTTTCTAGCCCTGTGCCTCCTCGGTGGTAGCTAAGGAGAGTTCCTTAGGCGAGCTTTCGTGACCACTTTATCACCAGCAGCTATTGTGTGGGCACCTCTGCAGATGGTAACTCACGAAAGGGAATTCCTGGCATCTGCGAGGATGCTAGCCGAACTTTTAATCCAGTTCTTCTGTTGATTTTTCCATTTTAAACATGAGAAAAATTCATTATTTATCTAGGACATTCCTGTCTCCACAGTGGAAGAGTATTCTTTAGTGACTATTCTTTTTTCTTTTATAATTTCATATGGTTCTTTTGATGGTTTTCCACAAAATTGCCTGTCTAGTCTGAGGTCCAAGAGCAGTTATACTTTGCTTAATGTCTGACTTATTTTCATCCCATGAACACTCTGCATTTACCACTGACCAAATTTATTTCTCATTCCTTCTTTTCTTGGGTGTTGATGACGAGAAAGCCAAGAAATAAGCTTGTAGCTTTTTTCTAATAAGTACATACATTTTAAAACCTAATTCCTGGTTCTGTTGATGCCTCTGTCCTTGCTTTTCTTTCTTCTATGACTTCCCATTTTTGTTTTTGCTAGCTCACTGTATTTTATTGAGTACTACTGGGGAGTTTATGAATTAAAAATCTGGTGAAAAGTGAAATAAAAATAAAATAAAGGGCATAAATAACTAAAAGATGAATACTCTGTGCCACAGTTGATTAAGGACTACTGAGTGTCAGGCCTTTGATAAGCATGGAGGATACAGCGATGTCCAGGCAAAGAGAGTTGATGTTTTCAGAACTTTGACACCTGCCTTCCTAGCTCAGCGGTAAGGAGTGGACAGACTTCGCCGAAAGTCCTGATTGTGACCCCAACCGAAACCTTACCCACGTTATTTGCCTTTTTTACTGCAGTTCAGTGAAAAAAAGCATTAAAATTTAGAGCTCTCTGAAATCTAATTTTTATTGGGAGGTGGTTTAGAAAGAGGAGATCACTGTAGTCTCTACTGAAAATATTAGTGGAATGAAAATCTTGGAAGAATGTATCTACTGTGTGATAATTTTGAAGCATTTCATAAAAACTCTTGATGTTGAAAATTGTTGTTTGAGCCTTAGGTTAGAGTCTTAAAATGTTTTCTTCTGTGCGGGGTAGGAGATAAGTGAATGAATCCCTTCTGCAGTCTATTAAGTGCCAGGCCTTGGGTACCAGGAAGAACCAAGATCTCTGAGTAGAAGATGCTTTCTACCTTGGAGGTTGCATTTTTATGTAACGGGGGACAGTGTTTATGTGGGTCCTTTTAAAATTACTTCTCTTTGGTGTAAGTTTGTTCCCTGAAATAACTTACATATTTTATTTTATTTTTTGTTAATCTTCACCTGAGGATATTTTTCCATTGATTTTTAGAGAGAGTGAAAGGGACGGAAGGAGAGAGAGAGCAAGACAGAAAGAGAGAGACATTGATTGGTTGCCTTTTGCATGATCTTGACTGAGACTGGGGATCAAACCTGCAAACCAGATAAATGCCCTTGACTGAAGATCAAACCCACAACTCTCTGGTCCATGGGCTGATGCTCTAACTGCTGTGTCCAACCGACTAGGGCCATTTACTTATTTTATTTATAAATTTTTTTTTCTACCATAAATCTTTGTTTTGTTTTAGATTAAGTAGAAGGGACTGATGCTGTATCTTCTCCCAAATTGGTTATGTTTTTATTGTTTTCTTTATTTTTTTATTTGAACTCATTTTGGTAACAGCAGGATTGTATATTTGTTTTCAATGTCTTAACTGGAATATGTTATATATCTTAATGGAAAAGAAAGAAAAAATGCATCCTAGCATAACTTCCTATAGTGACTTTGGAACTCTAAGTGTTGCCCATCCATCCATCCATTGAGATATCCATCCATCCATCCATCCATCCATCCATCCATCCATCCATCCATCCTTTATCTGTTGAATACCTGTCTTGTGCAAGATACTTTGCTAGATGCTGTGGTGCATATTAAGAACTATAAAACAGGATCCAGCTATCTTCAGAGAGGCTGTGATCTAAGAAAAATGGATAGACAGGTTCTCAAATAACTGTCACAAGGAAATTCCATGGAGGCAATTTTAACAGCCTTCTGTTTGTATCACTAGGTTTGTATTCTCGGTTGCAGGGGACGGAAATTCAGAACAAACTTCAGTTAGTGACTTCTAACCTCAGAGATGGCTGGATTCAAAGGCTCAAGCGGCATTTTCAATGTTCTGTCTTTCTTTGTATCTCCTCTCTCTCTTTTCTCCTGTGTGCTGACCTCATTTGTGGATAGTCTCTTTCCTTGTGGCAGAACAATGTCCCATGGAAGCCCCAGCCCTGTGTAATCATTCAGCTAGGATTCCAAAGAAAGAGAGAGAGACTCTGTCCCAGCAGTCATCTAGTTAATATAGGGAAGCTTCTCATTGTTCTAGTTGAGGTCACATGCCCAACTCTAAGCCAGTCATCATGGTCAAGGGGATGGAATTCTCTGTAGCCAGAGCCACCAGTTTATTCCTATATTTGAGGATTTGGGGGGAGGGTAGAGGAGAGTTCTTACAGACAGGACTAGGGCCATGTGGGGTTTGTACAATTGTGCTTCCTGAAAGGACAAGTTGGTATTAATACTGACACAGCAGAAAGAGGGATGGTGGGCCAGGAAAAGGGAAAGTAGGGAAGAAGAGAGGGAGGGAAAGAAAGAGAGAAAAAGGGGAGGGGAGGTAAGAGGAGTAATTGCTTCTCTTGGAATGTGAGGACAGGTGTGCTTTGTCCTGTGTGTGATGATGCCAACATGCCCATGGCTGTTGCCATCAGGGTGAACTGCCTTTGAGAGGCTGTGACTGCATTTCCAAGTGATTTTTACCTCTGTGCACAGGGATGCACACTGAGAGGGGAGGCAAACTGAAACTGTTAGTTGAAAGGGTGATACAAAAATTAAGAAAAATGAAGCCTGGCAAACCTGCTCAATCCTGGTTTCTTCTCAGTCACACTCACTTTTGCTCCCCTAGCTGAAATTTTTTTTTTTTTTTTAATGATGGGATTAGGTTGGGTGGGAAAAGATCACCTGGAGCGCCCTGGTGATGTTGTATGGAAGTTACCCATTCTTTTATGTACTGTCTATGTTCTGAGTCAATGGTTTTCACTCTCTGCTTTTTGCAGTTACATTGCAAATCAGAAAAGGTTAGAAATCATCAACGAAGATGATGTTGAAGCTTACGTGGGACTGAAAAATCTGTGAGTACTCAGGACTTGTGTACTTTATCTCAGAACTTTTCTTTATGCTCTGTTAGAGTGAGGTGGCACTCGTCGGTTAGTTCTAACATGTATGCAATTATCTGTTTTCATAGGACGATTGTGGATTCTGGATTAAAATTTGTGGCTCATAAAGCATTTCTGAAAAACGGCAACTTGCAGCACATGTAAGTACATGTTGTCGTTGCTTCCCAGGACCCCACTTATTCAATATTTTTTCTTCTTTCTTTTCTAACTCTAACCCCCCTTTGTAAAAGTTGCTATAGCTGTGACAATAGCTTAGAAACATTATCTTTGATTTCTGAATAGCTTCTGAGAGGTGTTAGAACAGGCTATTTATTCCCTTTCATGAATTTCTGGGCCAGCTCCATCTTGGGCAGGTCAATGGCAAGAGTGAAAACTGTGTCCTGGTACAACGTCCCTGGTTCTTTTCCTTGGAATCATAATGTTTCCTGGAAGACATTAAACCAGTGAAATTGAAAGAAATTGACGTGGCCATGGCCTCTTCAGGGAACTAAAAATTACGAATGCTTTGCTCCCCACAATAGATCTTCTTTTGAGCTTTCATTTTTAAAAAGCTATCATCCATGATTGACAAAAGTGGAGACAAGTCCATCATGGGACATGCCGAAGGTTCAGAAGATTACTCATAGCAAATGCTTCCCCTGAAGTCATGTTGAAGCTTTGTCAACTGGAGTTAAATATAAATAAATAGGGACAATGAGAGCTTTTAGGTTGCTGGCTGCTAAATCCTGTTAGATGATGGCACTTAGTCAATAAGGTGTCATCTCCTTAAAAGGTTTCACCTTTAAACAGAGAAGGACCCACTCCTAAGCTCTGGCGGGTGTCCCCACGCCCTGATTTTCAGTGGGACCTTCCGGTGGAGGAACGTTGCCGGCATTACATTGACCCTTTTGTGTTTTGCAAATTCTCTGCAACAATAGCTTGTGTGTCTCATAGTCACCTGCATTATCTCATTGGATTTTGGTAGGGAATATCTTTTTTATGCCCGTTTCATGGACATAAAATCAGACCCAGGAAGATGTTGAAGTTTCTCAGGTCCACAGATCCAAAGTGACAGAATTATGATTCCAAGGCTCACTCCTGGCCACGTTCTTCCAAAAAGAGTACAGGCAGTAAACGCTGTGCCATACCCTCAGGTTCGAGGACCAGCTGTTCTTGTAACGTTTGTCCTGTTTCTTTTCTTGGGAAGACTAGTTCTCCAACTGATTTTCATGCTGCTTGTAAAAGAAATCGTTCTCTTAGATTTCTGCCCCAATCATGGGGCAGACTGCAAGAAAAAGTCTCTTGCCTGGACTTTCTAGGGAGATTTGTTGATACTGTGAAAAGACACACACACCCCTTAATTTCATAAAGCCAGTATGTTGACTTCATATTTTATAGGTGGCGTTAATGATGAAGTTGATTTAAAAATAAAGTCTGTAGAATGAAGATAAAAAGCATTTGGCAAAAATGTGACCAAACTCCGAGGAACTTTATTAACACATTTCATTTCAATGCTTTTTGGCATCACCTCTGCAGTGGGTTTGCCCACACTGATGTCTGCATGGGCCTGAGAGCACAGACAGAGAAGCCGGAGAGAAGAAGGAGGCAAAATGCTCTAATGCAGTCACTGAAATGTGATTAGCGATCTCAGCAGTTAAGTTCTGCTAGTTTCCATATAGCTGACTCTAGACCCGAATTACTCAACAACCAGGTTTTACTGGATGTTTTACCATATCACTTCCCCTAATGTTGTGATTTTTGTATAGTGGACTATGGTTAATTGTAGTTTTAGTTGAAGACTTATTTTTTTTCTTTGTTGTACTGCTTATATTTTCCCTATTTTTCTCGTTTCATGCTATCTTTAGGAAACCAAAGCCACCTTGTGTATTTTTTCAGGGTGCTCTATGGTAGACTAATTTTGAGGGCATTCTGTGTGTTGTACATGACTTAAAAAGTCAAGTATCTGCCCTTATCTTCCAAAGAGGTGCCATTTGAAAATAGGAAACCAAAGAGATGGACATATCCTATATAGTTTTTTTTTTGTTTTTTAAATGCCAATAGTCTGGACGCTCAATCATGGGGCAGACTGCAAAGACTCCGCTGATATTTATAGACATGGTTGCATAGTAAGGCAGATGAAGTCTAGCCAGTATTCAGGTATGAAGAAGTTGTGAAATGTCCATAAGCTTCATGTATTTATGTGATGAAAGAGGCTCCTAATCACCAAATTAGGGAATTAAATTAAGTAGTTGTCTTTTGAGGACGGCAGGGAGGGAGGAGGAAATCAAGTCAAGTGCTCGTCTCTTCAGATCCTAGTCTCAACCTCTGCTTACGAGTCAAGACTCGAGGCCGCTGGCTCCCTCTCTGATTTCCTACAAGTAAATTGTGCCCTGAACTTGAATGTCAGCATGGTGGGTGACAGTGTATTGGGAAGAGATGTGTATCAGAAGCTGTTTCTCAGTGTCCCTGAGACAAGCTGATTCTCTGTTAGTTTCTCCGACAGTATGAAAATGTGCACAGGAGCATGGCTCTGCAGGTTTAGGGAAATTCAGCGTGGCTCCTGCCTCTCCCTGTCGCCACTTCCCCTCCGCCCTGCTCATATTTACAAGCATGGGGACTCTCCAGAGTCCTGTGACTGGTCACAGTTTATTTCTTGGTGCCTCAATTTCTGCCTGGCCCCTGAGAACCCAGAGACTGTGAGAAAAGCCAGCATTTGTGTTTTCCAGGGGCTTTGCAGAGGTGCTAATTAGCTCCTTTGCAAAGTCCTATAATCAAACAGTAAGAGGATTGTTGATTTTTTCCCTCCCCCCTCCTCCTGTTTTGGCTTTTGGCCCCAATAATAAGTATGGTTCATAAAACTCATCTTGTTCTTTGGCGCGTAACCCAGCTCTGGGCCGTGCTGCTGGCAGCCGGGCAGGGGCAGCTGCTCCCGGTGCCGGCTCGCTGGCTGACCCGGAATCTTGACAATGGGTGTCCTTTTTCTTTGCTCCTCTCTCCTGTTCTCCTTGGGAGGAAGGGCAGGTCCCCTGCACCCCTGCCCCCCTCCCCACACGCACTGTCAGAAGGATGGGGATTTCTGATGAAGATGAAAATATTTGTGTCTCCAAGACTGTGGGGAAGACAGGCAGATTGGCTCTTCAGTGTATCATTCTGCAGGGAAATCCATTCTTAATTCACATTCCAAAAGGAAAGGTTTATGTGGGCACGTTTTTAAACTTCCTGGTAGAGTTTGTTTCCTGTGGGTGAGCACTCTATACTCTGTGTGAAGAGGGAAGATGCACTCGTGGAGGGGAGAGGGCTCCCTTGTGCAGGTAGAGGTAGGGTTAGTGGAAATGTCAGAATAAGGCAGGGAGTGAACACACACATCCTGGAGTGAGGAGGCACAGAAGTGGCATTTGCTTTATTCATCAACCGAGCGGCCTTGGAGCATGCATTAGCTCCTTGTTGTCACCCCTTGGTGAAGGTGACCGGGCAGACATACCAACACACTTTAACTCACGACTTGGTTGGGCTGACACAGCCGACCAGCCTCAGGTAAGGGTCCAGGATTGTTGTCGGCCTCAGACTTCCAATCCTATCGGACTCTTGGCCCAACTCGCACTTTCCTGAGCAGGAAACAGATACCAAAAGGCTCTTTGCAATTCGTTGAGGTCTTGACTTTCTCTGTGAAAGTCGGTGTTGGACTTACATTCACGTTACTTACTAAACTCATGTCTACAAGCCCCATATTTTTTAAATACGTTCAACTAGTAAACAAATTCACAGAGGGTGTTGGCTGCCAGGATTATGGCTTAGAATTTCCCAACACAAGGTCTCATGGCATTGATTATTGGAAACTAAAACTCCTGCCCATTGAAAAAAAAAAACTACATATTTGGAACATGTCAGTAAATTCAGCATTATTTTTTATCCCAAATATGACACCTTTTCATTGGTTGGTGCAAATCTTAAAATGACATATTACTAGAATAGTTCAAGAGAAAATCTGACATACTCCTTGTTACCTGATTTTTTTTTTTTTTTTCTCATCCTGACATTGTCTGGTTATTTAGAAGTCATATATAAACGATGTCAGCAGTTTGTCAGTCAATGGGTGTGTTCTTCCCTATAAGGACGTGTTAAATCCAGTTCACATTCAGAATTTTGTATGTCACATGACTTCAAAATATTCATGATGCTCTTTGGTTTTAAAGCATCTTTTCTCTCTGGTGAATTTATGGTTTTAAATTAAATTAAATTTAATCTTTCTATTAATTGTTCAAAAGGTCAGAAATCTCTAGGAGTTATATAACTTGGCTCTGAATCAGTATATGAAAAACAAGCTTTCGGGTAAAAAAGACACTTAAAATAGACAATATGAAAATTATGCTCCCTGCCCCTCCCTCCCCCCAGGCAAGAATTATAGGAGAGGCAGAAAAAACAAAGCTATCACTCCAGGTGAAAGAAAAAAGTTATTGGGTCTAAGTAAGGCATGGACCATGATCAGATAAAATTATGTTGTTGAAAAAAATCTCAATTTGAATACTTTATTCCTGAACTATATCATTTTAGATTCACATGTAATGTTTTTGATTTGTTTCAGCAACTTCACCCGAAATAAACTGACAAGCTTGTCTAGGAAACATTTCCGTCACCTGGACTTGTCTGAGCTGTAAGTAATGATTTTGTGTTTGGGAGGAAACATTTTCAAGGAAAATGGAAATTAAGTATTTTTTAAAATAAGTGATACTAAAGATCTATTTTATATCAAAAATCTTGAAAAATACTTTTTCAAGTTTTGGTTATCCCCCCCCCCTCCCCTTATGAAGACATGACTCAGTAATAAAAAGCTGTTTTTACATAAATGATTTATTTCATATTGGAGGGAGAAATATTGAAATGTGTTAATGACTAATAGCCAGCATTGCCAAGTGTGTTCGATTTTTGTGTTATCACCGTGAGGCAAATATAAACTGTTGACATTCCTCTGGCTCAGGTGCCCAGAGACCCTTCACGCAGAGGCTCTGTGTATCAGAGGTGGGCCAGATGGACACGGCCTTTAAATACCAGGCAGTGCTTTTGCTTAAACTGTTTGTTGCCTGAATTATAAGGTCCAGCCCACTCACAAGGAAATTGTGCAGATTAGAAGATGTCATTAGCGGAGCGACAGCAAGCTGATAGGTAGTAATGAGAGTGTCATGGTGAAAGTTTTAGTAACTGGCAATTATTTGGAATCAACCGAATTCAGGCAGTTGAAGTACTAGGTTTCTAACACAGGAATAGACATTAAAACTGCAGGAAGATACATGAACTAGAGTAAGGTATTCTGTAAACATGTTGAGCGTCACTGTAAAAAATTTTCTTGGTGGGTTGAAAATTAGAGTTCTGATTCCAAATTCACATGTCTCAATGTTCTCCCTGCAACATATTTAATCAGCTCATCCAATAAATGTTAAATCTGTGCCTATTCCAAATCAAAGTAACATGGCACTAGGCCATGGCGATATAAGAACCATCTCTGTGTTCCAGGATTCTGGTCCCTGGTGGGAGAGGTAGAAGCCTAAATAAGTAAATGTAGTAACAATCACTGCAATAGGGGTTTGCACAGTGAGCGAGAGGAAGAAGCCAGTTGTCTGCCAGTGTGTGCGGTCATAGGAACCTTGCTATGTGTATAATTGAAGAACCTCTTGCTTTTTTATCCCCTCTGTGGATTCAATCAGATTTCCTTTTAAGAAAGACTCTTCAGTTTTTCATGCACTCAGAACGCCAGAAAATATCTTGGATTAGTAGGGCTTAAACATTGTGGATCTCTTCTGCATTCCATTCCATATCCAGGAGCATCAAATCTCATTTTGGTGTTGGAGGGATACTTGGAGGCTATCAAGCAAAGCAGACATAAATTAAACGAGTCTGCCATGACCACATTTCCCCCAAAGACACTCCTGGACAAGTCTCCGGGGATCCCTGAGATTCTTAGAACCTGACCAGAAAACCACAGGAGTAAATGCTGCTGCAAAGCCCAGGTCTTGTCCTCACAGAAATCTTAAGTATTGTGGTTAATTCCAGGCAGAGCCTATGTAACGATTTTAAATGGCCTCATTTAAAGGCTCATTACCATAAATGGAATTCATCTTAAATAGGCAACTGAGTATTATAAATAAGCATTTAAAGATTTTTTTTTTCTTGTGGTTTTTATTTTCTTCTTGACTACTTCCTCCTTCACCTGTCACAGGCCACAGGAGGCCAGGAGGCATGGCTGAATGGTGGCTTTATCTGAGCAGACCTGTTCACAGTGGGCTGAGAGGCTCCGTCTGGAGCTCAGTTGCCCTTGCTCTCCGAACTCCTGAGCTCGGTGTGTGTGCAGCCGTGTGTGCATGTGTGCACATGCATGCCAAGGCCCAAGAGCTCCCTTCCAGATTCTCTCACATTCTCTCTAACTTTCTTGCATCAATCAAACCTGCGGCTGCAGAGAGCTGTGAGCGCTCCCTGATTAGCCTCTGCCATCAGGCTCAGCATGGTATTTACAGCCTCATCTTAAACGAAGATGACATTGCTCTGCTGCCCATGGAAGTTTGAGCTTATTAAATGATAGCACGTCTCCAGCCTGACCGGAAATGAGTGTGTTAGTATTCCTGAACACTTGTTGGCATCCTCATGAAGATCTTCTTCGTAACTGTATAACTGTGATCAATTTGTTATGGCGCCTTACTTTCCCCGTTTTAGGAGACACCCTCTTTCACTTTACATTGTAGCTATTTCTGTCCCTAGCTTGTTTCCCTATTATTCTGAAAGGTCTCCGGTCGCTTTGCATCCTTTAGCCTTTTCAGCGGTGTTTGCACACGGCAGGCGCTCAGTAAGTGTCAGACAAATTAACGGGTAAGACGTACGGTTATGTTATAAAGGTGGGTATGACTTTCAAAGACTAAATGGAACGAATTCATAATTTGATAGTGCTTCATGAACATGGATGTAGTTGAAAAAAGAGAGGCCTAACTGGGTTTCGTTTTTGTTTCATGTAGGATCTTGGTGGGCAATCCATTCGCGTGCTCCTGTGATATTATGTGGATCAAGACTCTTCAGGAGACTAAATCCAGTCCAGAAACTCAGGATTTGTACTGCCTAAATGAAAGCAGCAAGAATATTCCCCTGGTGAACCTGCAGATACCCAACTGTGGTAATTTACTTTTAAGTCAATGAGTTCTAGTTGCTATTAATTATTCTTTTTTTTTTTTATCCTCACCCGAGGACATTTTTCCATTTTTTGTTCAGGTAGAGTGGGAGGGAGAGAGAGGAACAGAGAGAGAGAGAGAAACATAGATGTGAAAGGAACACATCGAATGGCTGCCACCCGCACAACCGACCAGGGCCGGGGACAAACTGCAACCGAGGTACGCGCCCTTAGCGGGAACCGAATCCGGGTCTCTCAGGACCGCAGGCCGATGCTCCAACCGCTGAACCAAACCGGCCAGGGCACTATTAATTATTCTAATTGGCTTGGTGTGGTAGAAAGTCTGGGAAGATTACCACTACCCAGATTTTTTTTTTAAATCCTCACCCGAGTACATCTTCCTTTTTTTTGTTCAGATAGAGTGGGAGGGAGAAGAGAGAGAGAGAAACATTGATGTGAAAGGGACACATCGAGTGGTTGCCACCCGCACGACCCAACCAGGGCCGGGGACAAACTGCAACCGAGGTACGTGCCCTTAGCGGGAACTGAACCCGGGTCTCTCTGGACCGCAGGCTGACGCTCTAACAGCTGAGCCAAACTGACCAGGGCACTACCCAGATATTATATATTATGCTGTTGATGACTCCAGTGAATTGGGAAACATTTGTGTGTAGTGTGGAGAAATCAGCTGGGAGTAACTTTGCTGAAAAATTTGTTGCAAGTAGAATATTAATTTTGAATGGATGACTTTAAAGTGCACACAAAAAATGCACACTTTATTTCTTTGTTTCTTTGTCCATCCGTCCATCCGTCCATCCGTCCATCCGTCCATCCGTCCATCCATCCAAAAAGTATCCGCTAAAAGTGTGGTACTCCACTGGCCAAATGTATACTTGGTTGGTGCCCAGGTCATGTAGAGGGAAGGATCTCAAGGTGATAAAATGTCCTGGGAGTGTAAGAAAATGCAGTTCCATCCAGCATATTCTCTCTCTTTTTTTTTTTATCCTCACACGAGGACATTTTTCCATTTTTTGTACAGATAGAGTGGGAGGGAGAGAGAGGAAGGGAGAGAGAGAGAGAAACATCGACGTGAAGGCACACATCGAGTGGCTGCCACCCGCACGACCAACCAGGGCCGGGGACAAACTGCAACCGAAGTACGTGCCCTTAGCGGGAACCGAACCCGGGTCTCTCCGGACCGCAGGCCGACACTCTAACCGCTGAGCCAAACTGGCCAGGGCTCCAGCATATTCTCTTAAATGAGCCTTGCTGCCAGGTGTCTGTGTTTCTTGATGGGGTCCACAGATTTGCCTTCCATGGTGCTTCTCCCCAGGTCTGGGTTGACAATCTCCTCCTTGACTCTCGTCCCCACCCTCTCCTCACACTCTCCCCACCCTCTCCTCAGCATTTACATCTCCAGAATTTAAAAGGGCGCCACATGATAAAATCACAGCTCTCTGGGAGGGCCAGTGTGTGGATAGGGAAGGAGAATCCGAGGGTGCCTGTTAGAATTTTACAGCTAAGGGCTTTTGTGACAATACTCTACCATACTCACATATTCCTATTATTCCTCTGTTGAAATTTTAATCAGTTAGTCAATCAGTTAATCAGTTCACTCTGATATTTGATCTTCTGGTCTAGTGGCTGGTGACTCAGCAGAAAGCCATGTAGCAATTGGATCTTGGTCTGAAGGAATCTTCATATTGTCCATAAACACCTAATTCTTTGTTTTCAGAGGACCCCATTGTTTGGGGTCAATTTTGTTTAAGGAAAATATAGCTGCTACTTGTTTTTAATTAGACTGTAAGAAAAGAAAAGATTAAAAAAGAATGAAGAAAGAAAGAAAAAAGAAAAGATGTGTTCATTTCTGACCTGGAAGGGGCTTAGAAGATAGCAGTTACCTTTCCCATGGATTTTTCTGTCATGACTAGAGAGCTTTGGCTTCACAGTGGGGAATCAGGCTTGGTTCCCTTGCCAACTTCCCGTAGCTTTCTTTGCTAGCCAACACTGAAAAAAAAAAAAAAAAAAGTTTAATTTATATCTTTTCCTGATTGATAAGAAGACACCTGTTCCCATTCTGGTATAAATTGCGCAGCTGAGAGAAATTGCCTAGAGGGATAAGAAATGCAATGTTGAGTCACCTGTCCTCTTGGCCAGCTCCCAAATCCCATGGCTGTTGTGACCACATTGGTTCAGCAACCACTGAGGGAGAAAAGAGAAAGCATCTGACTCCTCTGATTTCACAAACTGTCGCTTAATAGATGTCTGCTTTGCCCTTGCCCGAAACCAATTCTTTTATTTTGATTTTAATTTTTTGGCCATGTGGTCTCGACAGCATCCTCATAAGGCGCCTCATGATATGTGTTGTTCATAGGCCATTGTGATCGCCATAGGGCACCTGTAGCAGGGAGCTAGCTGGTCCTCACTTTTCCTGATCCATTCGTCAATTTTCGAAAATTTTTTATTTGATTCTCACAATTAATCAATGCATTGTGTGTATGAGAGTGAGACTTTGAATCCACTGTTAGAGAGCATGTATGTGCTTGATTGATTGAGTAGGATTTGTTACATTCATGGCAACATTCACAATTAATTTCAATGTAAACAATGCTTTTCATAAAGAGACATTATAAATAAGGAGCATTGAGAGACTTATTTTTCTACCACTTCATATTCTTACTGTTTCATTTTTCTGTTACTTTTTATTTTCTTTAACTGTTTTTTACTTATTTATAATTGCGCAAATTTATTTTAACTGTTTTTTACTTATTTATAATTGCACAAATCATTAATACATTTTGTTGTAAAACATAACTTTCTATATAACACATACAGCTTGTCTTTTTCTAGCTTTTGACCATCTGAGACCAGCTTTTTAATCATTGCCTGGTATTTGTAATACAATCTATTTATTCGTAGTAGAATAAATCTTAATTACATTAAATCTTTCATGTTGGTGGGCATTTATCCTATTTCGCATTTTTCATTGCTATAAACATGTTTCAACGAGCATATGTACAGATGCAAAAGTTTTTCTAGAGAACACAGTAGGAAGCAGATTTTTGAGTTTATATGGTTTGCACTTTAAAAAATGGTTGTACTAATTTATAGCCAACCCAGCAAAGTATATCTTAATATTAGAAAATGCATTTTTTGTCTCTCTAAAAAATGCTATGTAATTGCTTTTCAGTTTGCATTTTACTGATTACTATTGAGTATCTTGTGTATTTATTGGACATTGCATTTATTCTTCAGTGAATTCCCTATTTATATCCTCTGTCTAGTTTTCCTTTTATGCTATTGATAGTGTTCTTTTTTTTTATTTCTTCATAATTTTTTGAATGTTATAAATCATGTTTCTGCTTTTCTAAATGTATAATGAAAAAACATTTACCACACACAGTTAAACATATTTTCTGTTAGTATCTAGCAAAACTCTTCATAAGACAAGATACTTTTACTTCTCTTTACTTCCTTCTCCCATCTCTCACATTGTTTTCATCTGGCATCTGGGATTTTATTTTATTTATTTATTTTGAATGTTCCCACCAAATGTGAAATAGGCCCAGTTAATGCCATTTATTATACATGTTGAACAGCCTCTGAGACCCAAGGGCTCCCATATGAGGTTTTGTTTTGTTTTCTTTTTCTTTTTTGCATCAAACAGGTTCTTCCAAGAGCCTGGTCATAAGGAAGACAAAAACAGAGTAATCCTCAATAAAATAAAACAAACAGGAATAGCTCAATAGTCTACATATGAAAAACAAAGGTTAAAAAACTCACCAGACAAAAACCACACCAAACACTCATCCCATTTAATTTCCTATTACATGCTCTGAGGAAACGGAGAACATCAGGCTCCAAGGCAGTAATGCTCTGAGGTTCTAGTTCAGGCTCCCTCTATGTGACAGACAAATGCACACACATCCTCACACACTACTGACCCAGGCAGAAGTACACGTGCGTGCACAGGTGGCCAGAGAACCACAGTGGGGAATGAGGGAAGCGGGCAGGGGATGGCTGGTCCAGGATATGGTATCAACTGGAAACTGGGGACCCAGAGAACCTTTCTGCTGCAGAACAAGCAAGAGACAAAATTAAAACAAAGGCAGAACATAGGATAAATGTAGGGTACTCAGAGAAGATTGGATAGATGAAGAGGGAAAGATGCAGGGGACGTTTTGGGAAAGCAGCCTCGGAAGAGGTTCTTTATTGGGAGCTCAGATGGGCAGAGGTCCTGTGACCCCAGCAATATCCTGCAGCTGAATGAGTACGCCACAGCGTCACTTCTGCCTCCTGTGCTCTCTCTCAAGGTAGAGGGAAACCACAAAGACCCACCCTCTAGCCCTCCCCACTGCCACTCTTTGGACTGCTCCCCTCCAAAATAGCCCCCTCAAAGTTAAGCCCAGCAAAGGGCCAAGCGTAGAAAGCCTCAGTAACTCTTCTTGGTGGAACCAAAGCCGGAGAAGCCCATCACAGCTGCCATCTCATCCTCGCCCCAAATGTCAAGTCCTCCTCAGCCTCCTTTTCTTCTCCTTCTGTTCCTCTTTCTTGTAGGCTTCGGCCTTTTCCTCTTCTTCTCTGAGCTCCTTCATCCTTTCCTCAAAATCATAATCCTTTGGCTTCTCTTCCATCTTCTTCTTATCGACTTCAAAACGTTTCTTCACCTGATCCAAGGTAGAACGTTCCACACGCATAGACATGCCCAGGTTTCGCTGATGTTTCTTTCCATGGATGTGACCCAGAGAGTTGATGGAGTCCTTCACCACAGTCACAGACACTGCAGTAATATCCTCCCATCTCGGATTGTGGGGTGGTTTTGGCAATGACAATTGTCTTCCGAAGCTTGGAGTCCCTGTGCCTGAGAAGCTCAGGCTTGACTGGCTGCCCTGTTTTCCATCCTCTCTTCTCTGTCTTCCGTGAGCCTCCTCTCAGTAAGCTTCTCATTTACAGCTTTGTCCCACTTACGGCGAAAGTCCAGGTTTTTTGTCCCACTGCCCGACGCC